TATGAAACATATTTGTAGCTTGCCTACTTCTCATGTGGACACAGAAATTTACAGCAATAACCTATGAGTTAATCACTTCTTACCTGTCTCACGTCATCTTTCTCTCAGCACAAATTTTTAAAACTGCATTGATAATAATAACCAATAATAAAATAAAAATTTTTAGCTTACAGAGACTATCAAATGTCCTCACTTAGTCATAGATAAACTACATTACAATGTTTCTCCAACTAGGAAACAAAACTACTTCTTGTAAAAATTAACATGAGGGCCATAATTAGAAAATTATGGAGCATAGTGAAATTTATTAATAATCTAACATTTTGCCTTATTTTATCTCTTTTCTATTGCCCAATCACTGTCAACAATTGTAAACCTTTAAAACATGAAATTGTTACTGTTTTACTTTTATTCCTGAAATGTGTAAAATTCCTAAAATGTAAAAAAAAAAAAAAAAGGTGTGACTTGAGTCATGAATGTTATACTACTTTATACCATTTATTCTGTCTCTAAGGTATGAACAGGTGCTTACAAATCCTATTTTGCAAGAATAAAGGGGAGAGCTCCGTCACTGAGTATACCATAACAGCAATTATTGGTTAACTGTTACGAAAAGTTTTTGCTCTACCTTTTGCATCACAGAACAATTCTGAAAGCCCCTATGATTTTGTTAGCATCTGATAGTGTCTTTCCATTTTCCTCTAGAGTCAAAAGCAAGTAGTGATCTGATTATTTATTTGTACTATCTCCCTTCCATTTATATAAAGTAAAATATTGAGGTTAATGTAACTCAGGGCATGCCCTTTCTCTGAAGAGTTGATACATGGTTAATGGCACATGGGAAGGAATTCAATCCTTGGTTCCCTAAAAGCTACAAAGAGCTGGATCACATTTTCATGTATAAGCTTTGTTTTAGAAGCACACAAAGCTCATTTTGGAGTTGGATGGATAATTCTGTGACATATAGCACATAGACTGATTCTAACAGATGGATTTTTCTTGAAATAACTTCATCAGCTAATCATTTCTCTTACATATACTTTTTCTAGCTAATTGGCATAGCTACCAGCTGGAGCTATTAAGGATTCTCAAAGGAAGTTCATAAGTAAGGAGAAAACCCAATAATTTTACCAATTTGTAGATGAAACTACCAATTTCACAATAACCATTTATTATTTTAAAAGTAAAATATTTGTCTTTAATTTTTTTTAAAATTTAAAAAATCTTACCTGATCTGTGTGAAAACCAAAACACTCATGTGTTAAGGTTTAACAAATAATCTAGACCAAGGTTTCCAAAATTTAGCACTACTGGCATTGTGGACTAGGTAATACTTTTTCTTTTCTTTCTTTCTTTTTTTTTTTTTCCTGTGTTAAGCTGACTTGTGCACTGTAGGCTGTTAAGCAGCATCCCTGTCTTCTACCCAATATATGCCTGTAGCACACCCATTTGTGACAACCAATAATGTCTCTAGGCCAAATATCCTTAGGGGCAAAATTGCCCTAGATGAGAATCACTGCTCTAGGAATAGATTGTCCCTAATTTTTAATTCTTAAAATAATGTAAAGAATAGTTCTACATATGTACATGTGTATGTAACTCCAGACATTCTAAATATTACTAGAAATTGCAGGCTTCGATTAGGTAAATAAAATGTTTTGGGGGGAGTTATTTAGGTTGCTAATCCTTTCATAAATCTCTCTGGATAAAGGAGGAAAAGAACAAGTGGCTTCTAAATACCAATGAATATTAATTATTTAAGGAATGCCACCATCATTTTCATCATCAAAAGCATTGTGGATTTCTTTTCCTTTAAGGAAAATCTTCAGTATGACTATATGAATAGACAAATAACAAAATCATGTGCTGGGATAATTTGAGATATAAATGATTATCAGCTGAGATAACTAAGGCATTTTTAAATAAGGGAAATGAAATGGATATAAAGAAAATGAATCTGGATTGGTTTTGACTTTATTATATATTTGTGAAGTGATTTGGGATTTGTAAAAGGGTTAGTCATTTAGATAGAGATTTCCTGGTCTTTGAAATTCAGTGGTAAAAATAATGTTCTCCACCTTAGTGATTTTTCCTTAAATTACATATCGATGGATCTAAGAAGGGTTCCGCAGAAATAAGATATGAATTTTCATGGTTTGGAAAAGGGAAACAATAGATATTTTCTAGATAACAGTAAGGGCAAGAATGTAACACCGTAAAGTTTGCAGACAGACTCATTCCTTATGTTTAAAAAAAAGTTCCTAAATTCTATCCAAATTGCGTTCTTTCCAATAAAGATTTTCTAAAAGCTCAGGCAGTCTTTTAATATAACATAACGATGTTTTAACGTTTCTCATTCCTTATGTTTAAAAAAAAGTTCCTAAATTCTATCCAAATTGCGTTCTTTCAAATAAAGATTTTCTAAAAGCTCAGGCAGTCTTTTAATATAACATAACGATGTTTTAACGTTTAACAATTCCATTTTAGAATGTTTAATTTTCCTCCCCAAATCAAGGTATTTACCTAAAAATTCCATAGTGGTCTTTGTTTTCTTCTTTAGACTATCCAGAGTCCTTGTAAGGATTTAGATTCTACACTTTATTTTTTTAAAAAAATAACTCTTCTTTTGAACAGGATATATTATACTGTGAGATTGCCATTTTTAACTCTTTCAGTTCACATTCACCATACGCTATTCTGTTGGGCATAGCAAGAGTAAAGAACGCATTCTGTACTGGAGATTGCACCTAAGGGGACCACAGATGGTGCGCTGCGTGCTGCACCTGCACATGCGGGCAGCTTTGTGTTTCAGCCCTAAGCTACCCTGGGGCTGGCGGTGGAGCACGGACACTTACTCTCTGCAGGTTCTTTGGAGCGGCGGCCACTGGACGACTTCCTCAGCAGGCTCCGTCCCGAAGTGAAGAGGCTGGTCAGCTCCTCCAAAGGGCTCGTGGGTGTCCTGGACCGAGAGCCGCTCGGAGGCGCCCCGTAGGTGTTGACCGAAGCGTTGACCATCTTGGCCCCATCCTGAGACACTGGTCTGGGGGTGGAATGAGGCACTGATGGAGAGCCCCTTGAGAGGCTGCCTGAATGCACAGCGTCGTAGGGGGGAGGCCTTTTGAGGCTCAGGGGAGTCAGGGACCTGCCCATGCTGACAGGGGAGGGAGAGGTGGAGTGACTTTTCGGATAGCCATGGGGAGACTGTGTTCGGTACAAAGTGGAAGGGGGCGGCGGGGACGAGGACAGCACTGGAGTGGCAGAAGCAGATCCTAGGGCCCCGCCGGCCTGGTCTTTCTCCAGTTTGGAGTGGCCGGAGGTATGGGGTGGCAGTGAGGACGGAGACGCTCCAGCCGCCTGTTTCATGTAAGACACGTTTTCCAGCACGGGAAGCTTGGTGACCTCCAGTGGGGTGAGGGGAGACTCGTCGGAATTGGGGGAGCAATGCACGGGGGCCGGTGGGAACACCAGCAGTGGGGGTCGGTGAGAGAGCAGGTTGGGAAAGGGCGGGGGGATGTCACACAGTAGACCCTTAGGAGTGCATGGCACTGAGGACTTGGCGAAGTCCAAGTCAGGCACCGTGGGCGTAGCACACTGCGAAGAGCAACTGTGAAGGTCAAAGTCACACTTGGAGTCTTGGCCTAAGTCGTCAAAAATGGGGTATTTCATTTCCTCGTAGACGGCCTCACTCTGGTCGTCGTCGTCCTTCCTGAAGTCTCTGAGGATGTTTCCCACCATCTCGATGTACACGGGCTCCTCCTCTTCGGGGTCTCCCGCGGGGCTGCTGACCTGCGACACGGAGGACTCCCGTGGCAGCGACGTCCTCCTGGGCCCGTGCTTTTTGATGTAAGTTTCATCGAAAGACGTGCTCAGCTGAGTGTTTGGATTCCGTTTGGGTTTAGGAGGAGGAATCTTCTTTGAATATTCATCACTGTGGGGTCTTGGTTTGGCCGACACTGAAAAAAGGAAGAAAAAAGTAGTAAAGTAGATGAGTATAAATAATAGGAAAGCTTTCAAAAATGATTTGCACTTGGGTTTACTACAAACTTTTGCCTGGAGGAGTAAGTCTGTTTCACTTCTAGGTAAAGGCTTAGACTAAAAAAAAAAAACCAAAGATGCAAACATTTTCTATAATTAGAAAAACCAGATGACAGAAAGATAGTCATTCTAATCTTCAAACTATTATTAATAACCCAAAACTGATCGATGCATTAAAACCAGGACTATCCACCCCTTTGCCTTAGAATTTCTAAATAGAATCCTTGGGATGAAACATGCTGTATAAAAACAATCACAAATTTCATAAAAATTAACCTGCAGAATTAAGTGAGAAAGAATCTCAAGGGAAAAAAAAATCTAGCACAATGGTCAAAGAAAATACTATAGAGATTGAGGCTTTTTACTGATGTGGCTACTATACATGATCACATCTTGCTTTCATTTAGTATAAAAATTTCCCAGCCTGCTAGACTTAATCTCCGTGTTGGTTCAAATAAATAGCTTCTATACAGACGGGTCTGATATTTCAGGAGAACGTGATGTGAAAATATTATTAAGCTAGACAAGTTAATCTCCAGATCTCCAAGTATTGTTGATTATGGTGTATTTGTCTGTTTTTGTTCATAAGATCTCTTATGATATACCAAATGCCATCTTGGAATGATTTTATCAGATACGTTCCACTGACACATTCAAACCCCTTCGAGAGTTTCAAAAGAGAATAACCCAGGGAATGATGNAAAGCTTTCAAAAATGATTTGCACTTGGGTTTACTACAAACTTTTGCCTGGAGGAGTAAGTAGTCTGTTTCACTTCTAGGTAAAGGCTTAGACTAAAAAAAAAAAAACAAAGATGCAAACATTTTCCATAATTAGAAAAACCAGATGACAGAAAGATAGTCATTCTAATCTTCAAACTATTATTAATAACCCAACACTGATCGATGCATTAAAACCAGGACTATCCACCCCTTTGCCTTAGAATTTCTAAATAGAATCCTTGGGATGAAACATGTTGTATAAAAGCAATCATAAATTTCATAAAAATTAACCTGCAGAATTAAGTGAGAAAGAATCTCAAGGGAAAAAAAAATCTAGCACAATGGTGAAAGAAAATACTATAGAGATTGAGGTTTTTTACTGATGTGGCTACTACACATGATCACATCTTGCTTTCATTTAGTATAAAAATTTCCCAGCCTGCTAGACTTAATCTCCGTGTTGGTTCAAATAAATAGCTTCTATACCGATGCGTCTGATATTTCAGGAGAATTTGATGTGAAAATATTATTGGGCTAGACAAGTTAATCTCCAGATCTCCAAGTATTGTTGATTATGGTGTATTTGTCTGTTTTTGTTCATAAGATCTCTTTTGATATACCAAATGCCATCTTGGAATGAATTTATCAAATACATTCCACTGACACATTCAAACCCCTTCGAGAGTTTCAAAAGAGAATAACCCAGGGAATGATGTGTAAGCCTCAGAAATAACTTCTGGAAACTCAAGATAGATATGCGTATCAATGCATCCCACTGCCTGCTAGAAGACCCCCTTTTGATAGAACATAAACTTCTGACACCGTACAGTGGTAGGGCGGAACCAGCTGGCAAATCTCTGTGACTGAGACGAATTGTTTAGCATGCAGGGAAGGTACTGGATTCTTGCTATTATCTCATTATCTCATTGTGTTGATATATGATTACAATGATTATCATTATTATACCGTCTGACAGAATGTAGTTGCTTACATTAGATGGTAGCATACAATCTGGTAAATTAACAGTATGGCTTATAGGTGCAAAAATACGAGGAAATAAGCTTCTCTATAATTTGCTGCTTAAACAGAGGGGGCTCAAGACACTAATCAGGAAACACCTGAATTCCCCTTTGAGTTTTTTTCAACAAGCATAACTTATGACATGGGAGCTTTCTAAAACTTACTAAAGGAGAATAAAGTGCTTAAGGATTAGTTAAACAGCTGCTCTACACATCAATCATGGCTTCAGCAGGAGAGAACTAATATTCTAGTAGTGACTNCAGCTGCTCTACACATCAATCATGGCTTCAGCAGGAGAGAACTAATATTCTAGTAGTGACTATGTATGTTGTTTTTCTAGGTCATTCCTGGCTTCAAATATTCTGTTTCATTGTGCCCATAATGATTATTTTACTCACTATAATCAAACTTTTGAAGAGAAATTTCTTACTGCATCTAGACTTTTTGTTTTATCCATGCTAAGAAAAACTAGATGTCATTTTCCAGGGAACTGTAGCAGTGAAGTTTTTTAGTGCCCAAAGAGAAATGCCTAGAGACATGATGGAGTGAAAACTACCCAGTCAATCATTCTTTAGGAGGGACCCAAAGCAACTAATAACTCCTCCCTGTACCACCCAACTTGGCATAAATTTTACTGGTTTTGAAATCTACTGGGTATATTAATTTTTAAATATTTAAATAAATCATCAGATTATATACAAAAATCTGAGCCCAAACAAAGTAAAACTATAAATCAATGAACAAGGTTGACTTAGCACTTAAAGAATTTTGAAAGCGTCAGGACTTAGAAGTACAAAGACCCACTCGGACTCTCCTGCTAAAGCTTGTTTCCTGCCATCCTCTACCACAGAGAATCATTCTAGACTAAGTAACTCAGGCTGTGGGAAAATATTTGCCCTAACTATGGGGTTCCAGTGATTGAGTGGTGTGAGGTTGAAGGAATCCTTACAAAAGAGATGTCTAAATAGGGAGATGCTCTATGAATGAAGAGTTAAGCTGAGGATAGAAATTAGGGTGTGTTTATAAGATAGACAACTTCATTATATAGGAAAAATCATATTTAGAATAAGATTTTTATTTTTCTGCTTCTTAAATTATAATTTATTTTTATTTTCTTTGACCCTTCACTACAGTCTGATACTCTAACGTAGACTATGGAGAGAAATAACTGGACAAGCATTCAAGCATCTACTGCACCTACGCCTAGGTAGCAGCACTGCATTGAGGTGAGTCTACAGCGAGGATTCCCAGGCAGCGGGGAGGTCAATAGTAGATGTGGGAGTGGCAC